TTTGGTGGGCTGAGGCCTTCACGTCCAGTCATTAGTGAGGAACGACTCGAGCGAACAACCCTGGTATTAGGGGTGCTCGCCATGCCGTACCATTAGGGGGTGTGGTCATTGCTTGATCAGTTGGGAGGAAGACCGGTGAGTAGGAGTTCGTAGTAGTGTTGACAGTGTCACACCCTCAGTGTGGGTCTGGTCAATGCTCCACTCGTGATGACCGTTCAGGGACTTGTCCGCGGTCATTGGTCTCGAGTTCGACCCCTGGTAAGCGGATCTTCTTGGATTTCCTTGATGTAACCGAGGTTGTCCATTGCCGATTCCGGCCAAGCTCTCCCTCCATCTGGACCAGTGTCGTGCATTTGTCCCATGGTGACCAGTCTCAACTTTGGTCTGCTAGCCATGACATACATCGGAGGGCAAGCGTACTCTTCCCTACCAGCTGTGTTGACTTTTGGCAGCTTCTCGTTCATCATCAGGGAAGGCTCCTCTAGGTAGATCCATTGGAAGGTCCTCTAGGTCTCTACACTGAGATCGTTGGAAGTACTGTTAGGCAAGGGTGAATGCAGCGCGACTGAAAGTGTGTTCTTCAATGCCTTGTGGGTGTGACTGCGATGATTGGTGCCGAGGACCTTGCCAGCACTGATTAGGAGCGTTTGACAATAGGTGTGGGAAATGTCGCGGAGCTTAGTAATATAACTGCGGGAGTCTTCAGTGTGAGTGCCTCGATCACTGCATGTCACCTGAGTTGTTTATCAAAAGGGGACAGAGTTTGTGTTACTGGGAGGAGGGTGGTGTCGTAGAGCTGTGGCTGAATTGTGCGAATTGTCCATCTCGAGAAGCGAAGGGTGATGTTTACAGAATGAGAGAATTCAGAGAGTCGAATAGTAGCTCGCTTGTGCACGCGTGCACATTGCTGTCTCCCTCACCCTTAGCGCGTAGTTGTACCAGGCTCGTGTGCTCCTGGGAATAGGGAAGTGGCTTTATCGGACGATTACACGTGTGTGGGCTGGCAGCTGGGTAGAAGTGAAGATATGTAGGACTTCGTAGAGGTTGATGGGGTGTCCGACAATGCTCAATGTCCGAGAATGCAAGGCTTTATTGCGTGCTTCCACCGTTGCTAGCATTATAGACTGTGTTACTAGCGCGACGTAGGATAGAGCCATGTAGAGGTATGCTATGATAATGTTTATGTCAGTTAGTGTAGTTGTTATTATTTCTCTTCATCCGTAATGGAATTC